TTTTACCAACTGAATTTCGCTGCAAGCTGGCAAACTGGGAGAGAGTGATGCACTCCGAGGCACAAAGTGTAATTATTCAGAAGAGGAGTTTTCTGAGATAAAGCCAAAATAAACTCCATAAATCCCTCCTCATTTTATATTCATTTTTTCACGGAAACGTGAACTAACGAAATTAGGAAAATACTACTGCTAAGTTACAGGTTGCTTGGCTCTCTGATGTTAAACTTTCAGCTTTGCACGGATTGGCTGTTTTGATTTTCGTATTTGGGAGGCAGTAACCGTGATTGGCAAAGGCTATGCTATTTTACGTGGCAAGCGGTTCTGGGTGCACTTGATGAGGTTGAGCCGTTAAAATGACTCGAAAACCTGCAAAACGTTTCGTAATCAAAGCCCCCGTTGTACGGGTATTTGCAGCTCCGTCGTTTAAGCGAGCGCTCAATAAAACCATAACCGCCAACCGCCCAGGCTAACACTAATCAGGTGGAGATTGTTGCGTTTGCTATAAAATAGTGATGTGTGTTTTTCCATCGGGATCGTATCTCTGCAAGACACCATGGTCTCCCTTAAAAATTTTGACTCGGTTGTTTGGTGGCTAATGACGGTGACAAAAGGAAATGAAAATTATCAATTATTCAAATCAATCGAGGACTCTGCCTTGTGAAGGATCATCCCAATCTTTTAGTGGACTACGGGAGGCCCTAGCAATATTGAATCAGACGCTGCTCACTGGCTATCAGTTTCCCGCGGCTTAGCTTGCCTGACTCCAATCTTCCGAGTTACTTCGATGTACATCTCTCCAAGCGAATTTGAAAGTTTTCCCTTTCAAATCAAGTCTGATCGGACGATTAATAATCTTTTCTTTTTGGTAGTCATGAGACAGCAAGTTGAGATGTGGACGCCCTTTGAATCACCAATTATCGCAGTCTGTGGCCTTTCCTCTTATCTAGGCAGATCGGAAAACTGCTGAACTAAACTTTAAAAAACAAAAATTATCTTTCAAATCAGCATTCTGAATCCCCACGGTTTCAACGAACGCTTCCATTCAACCAATTTATTCGTTTTGTCTCGTTACGATGATCCCGCCTATAGCGTAACTCCATTTCCTGCATATAAACACACGCAACCCACAATAGTCCTCCAGAAACTTTCAAGGTGGCCAATCAACTTATCAACTCCGTTGAGAAAATCAAACCATCTTAGTGAATCATCAGTCTACCTTACATAATTTTAATAGCAAGAATTTAATTCAAGTACGTCTGACTCGGCGCTGAGCAAAAAAAGTTCGATTCTAACACGAAATCGAGATGTAATTTTCCTATCATTCTAGTTATACGTCTGAGCAAGTTAGAGTGAATTAGGATGCAATTACCACACGATGGAGTCGATGAGTCGTGCGAAGTTGTTTTAGCGGTCAAAGATGGCAAGTTCAAAGTCCACAGAAAAGCTCTTTCAGAAGCAAGTCCTTTTTTTGAAAAGTTGCTGAACAGCGACATGAAGGAGTCCAAAGAAGGAGTGGTTCGCTTGGAGATGTTTACAAAATCTGTTATGAGTAAGACAATAGAGTTTGTTTACACCGGAAATATTCATATATTAGATGCAGACGAAGCCCGCGATTTGGTTGTGATAGCGGATTATTTGTTTCTCACAAAACTAAAGGTGTGTGCATCAAGATATCTTCTTCAGAAATTAAACATTACCATTTTGAATTCTCTATCAACTTTACGTATTGCTGATACGTATCACCTCGAGGAACTTTACTCTAAGACCAAAACATTTATACTTGCAAATATCAACGCCTTATTCACCGAGAACCGCGAAGATGTTTTGAATATGTCAAGCAAGGAACTTACAATTTTTATCTCAAGCGACGAACTGATCGTAAACGTCGAGGAAGATGTGTTTAATATCATTCTTTCCTGGATTCATCACGACATAAGGAAACGACACACCTACTTCGCAGAGTTATTTCGTCACGTTCGACTGCTTTATATATCGCGTGACTATCTGTGCAATGATGTCGTGACAAATGAACTGGTCGAAGGAAATGAAGGCTGTCTGGATCTTGTTCACAAGGCTATCGGCATCCTTGAATCAAAGAACGTTGATAATTTCCTGGATTATCTCCATGTAACACCTAGGAAGGCTTTTCAAACCCCTGTTTTAATCGCAAACATTGAAAAATATTTGATGTGCTATCTTCCACGTGAAAATAGCTGGTATACTTTAGGTGGCGAGATCCCTTTAGAATTGAAGGGTGACCGACTTTTCTCCTGTAATAGTAAGTTGTACAGTACAAGAATAGAGTCAGTTAAATATCCTCGGGAGGTCTGCAGACTACATATGTCATGCTATGATCCATACTCGAGCACTTGGATTTCATTACCAGTCTTGGAAGGGAACGCACATTGTTGGCAGATATTTGTCAACAATAAAGATGAGATGTTTGCTTTATTCTCGGAAACAAGCGGTGGGAACCACTTCCCCACTTGGTGGATTCGAAATGGAAGAGGTTCCGCTGAACTTACCCCTGTTAGACAAGGTGTCGAGGAAGGAACCGAAGACAAAAACGTTTCCTTCATTATGCAATATAAATCTGAATTACATAAGTGGGAAGAAATTGCATCTTTCAATTATTTAGACCTGAGACAGGATTTTATCATTGTGGCGCATGACAACTTCATTTATTTTATAGGCAGAATACTCAGAATACTCTGGCGTGGACGCGAGTATGAGTTCCCGCATGATGTGGAAAGGTATGACCTTAACACAGACCAGTGGGAAAAATTACCAGGTCTTCATCAAATCGCAAGAAGGTCGGCTTGTGGTGCTGCAGCAAACAGGAAAGTAATCATTGCTGAAGGCTGTCAGTGTGAAATTTACGATGAAGACTCAAATGAATGGCACTTCATCGAAGACTTGGAGGAAGGATCTTATTCAAGGAGAATTATAAATCTCGTAACTGTCGATGATCAGCTGTATGCTTTGTTTAAAGATCAAACTGATGGGACCTACACGGTTAAACATTACGACACCGAGAAGAACAAATGGAGTCCGAACGAACTCATGACGAAGATGTCTTCAGTATTGGACGTGTGTTCGATGAGAATTTTCAGAGGATGGCTCAATAACTTCTCACTGAAAAGTCTTACATCTGTTCCCATTCAAGATACGCCTAAGCACTATTGTTGTAGCATGTAACGGTGATTAAATTTTTTGAGCCAATATTTAAATTACATGACAACCATGAGATTTTAACCCAGCCTCACTGATGTGTACATACGATGCTTCATTGTTCATCAAGGATCGTAACAAATGCATACACCTGTCAACTGGAGCGCACTGAGTGCACATCAGGATCTGTGTGAAACCTCTTGTTATATCAATTTGTAGACTGGCATGCGGACGACGCGATAGTAGCAGCCGAAGGAGTTTGGGTCTGGCTTAACGCGACCCGACCCAACCCTCGCTCGTTTTTCCGCTGAGCGGCTACTATCGCTCGATCATCGCAACATTTACCATCGTGCTACGTTCTAATGACTGAACGTCGCTACAGGCGGGCAGACTGGAAGAGAGTTAACCCTTTAACGCCCAAAATCTCATTGGTAACTCTCTTTACCGTCTGCCATACAATTCTTATAACGCTGGTTCGGAGAATTTGGTATTGAATCAACTAACAATTTGCCTAACTGATATATTCCTTTATTCTCATCACTTGTCTGCTTGATATTGTACTGATAATGTAAGGAGAAATTCTGACTTGGTCACTTATGGGAGTTTAAGGGTTAAAACGAGTCAAGAGACCGCGAAAGGTTTTACAATAAAAGCCCCTCTGCTTGCACAGGTATTTGCGGCTCCACCGTTTTAGCGAGCTCCCAATAAAGTCGCCAGCCGCGCAGGCTAACACTTATCAAGTGGTAATTTCGCTTATTTTAAACTAGTGATGTGTGTTTTCCCATCAGGTCAGGACAGAATCTCTTCAAGAGACCATGGTCTTGTGATTTACCCCTTAAATTTTGCTTAGTTTGGAGGTTTGTGACGATAACGACAGAAAATAAATGTTACCAATTATTCAAACCAATCAAAGACTTGGCCTTGTGATAGATTATCCCAATCTTTTAGTGGACC